TCGGTTGTATCAACCGACAGCCTTAACGTCAGTGGAGTACAACATTTACAAGACAGTCCTCAAACAAGTATGAATAATGGGAATAATGACAATGATAAGAAATCTCAACAAGTTTTTGAAGGTAAATTAAAATGTTTCATTAATTATAGGTATAAAGTATTTTATTTATTCGTAGAACTTATACTAATAAATAGAGCATATATTGCTGACGCTTATGGGTGGTTCGGTGACGGCAAATTGTGTTATATTGATGTATTATTACAATAAGTAGATTTCATGATAACTTAATGAAATCAGAAACTAGAAAAGTTAGGTACTAGCACAGAATTTATTAAAATATTCATAAAACATGACAGGTAGGTAGGTATAATATGATAATTATGTATTTATGCTGTTTTTGTTTTTAACTATGCATAATCTGGTAGGGTCTATTACGATCACTTCCCCGCAGTTAAGGCACTATAAGTATGAGTATTCTCATCCGGCATTTTGGTTCCAAGCGTGCCCGGCGGTCGAACCTGAACCAAAATGGCGGATGAGAATACCTACATCTATAGTGCTCTACCGCAGTAGGGCATTTGGCTAGTTTATCATTTAATAACGTTATCATAGAGTTAATCTGCGATAACAGTTACATTTTTTTATATACTATTAATTTTGAGGATTGTGAATTTGTCATTGAAATTTCAATTCTATTTTATATCTATAATAGTGTACTATAAGAATGAATCATGATTTTGGAGACAAATTACATTAACATGTAATTAAAAATCTGTGAGATGCCCCAGATAACAATCTTACCTTTAAATTTTATTAGAGGAAAATTCACTCTATTTTTTAAGCTAACAGAGTTAGACGCTATCTGCTAAGTACAAAATTTGCTGTGATACGCACTTGTAATGAATGTCACGTCACTCGACGGAGACAACAAATGTTGGTGTAACGTCCTCATAAATTAAGAGAACACTTGTGTGTTAAACTCAACATTACTGTGGAGCTAGAAGATACCACTTTTGATTTAAAATGTATGTAGTAGGTATATGGTCAGTCTTGTAAAAAATACTTTTGAAAAAGTATTAAGATACTAATACTAGTATTCGACTAAAAATGTATTAAAAATACTATTATAAAAATGTATTTTACGAATACTCACAAAGTATTTGAATACAAATAAAAGTATTTTTTTTGAATTTACACTACCTATATATCTAATATAATATTTACATTATACATCAGTATAGGTACCTATTATGTTACTACTTGCCATAGATCTTAACAATTACTATTGACATGTCTGTCATCTGACTATTAAAAGATAATTACATGTTCACATATTTCATTCTGCATTTAGATATATTTCAACTAATATTGATTAAATTTTAACGAAAAAAATAAAATAAAAAGTGGTAGGTATTAACTATTAATATGGAACTATTTTAAAATAATTAGATTTTCAGTTTTATCAAAAAATACCAATACAGAAACCATATACAATTTGATGTGATATATTTTTAATTTTAAACATTGTTATTATCTACTTTTACTATACAAAAACATAATATTAGTTCTCAATAAAAACAATATTATTTTTATTGATGTCAATTTTTTGTGAAAAACTATAAAGTAAAATTAATAAAATGGAAATTTAAATGTTGTTAAAAATACTTTTAAAAAGTATTCAAAATACATAAAAAAAAAATTGTATTTAGAATACCGTATAAATACTTCAAAAAGTATTTAAATACTTATATTCAAATAATTTACAAGACTGTATATGGTTTTATAAATTCTTTAAATTTGATGAGTATAAATTAAATGTCTTAATGTATGTAGTAGATAGTGAAGCAAATGAATAGTGTTATGGTGACTGAAGTGTTAAACATTATTTATTTTAATATTATTAATTACAAGAAAAATGCATAGTTTTTTTTACAAGATATTTTTATTTAATGAGTATTGCTTAAGTTATATGGAGTTAAAATCTTAATAGTCTAATTTATGCCTTTACTTTAAAATGTTTGATTTATAAAAACAAAGATATAACAATTATGTTCCAAACACACTCAATCATAGGTAACCATGATCAAATGTCTGGTGAATATTAACATATTATTCATTGTTTTTGCTCTCAATTCCTTCTCGAATAGCATTGGTTTCATTTACAGTTGGCTTATAAATATCATTTTTATGCAATCTTTGTTTTCTTGTTGAGTATAAACGCATTTGGCCAGTAATTTTTTTTTTGGTTATTTAAATTTTCAACAGGATTAAAATGGAGTTTTTTTTGTTTTGTTCAACATATTTATAACGTCATCCAATTGTTTATTAAGTAACATGCCTTCCTCCTCACTAACTACATTTGTAGCACATAGCTCTACTTTATTAATTATTTTTCCACTAATGCCAGGTGTACTAGGTGTTGTAAATTCAACAGAAGGCTGAGAAAATATCATCTCCATCAATTCTTCTTGTTCTCCAACAATATTATCTTCCAAACAAATACTGCTGTCATCAAGAACTTTGTTGAATGATTTTGCACAGGTCATGTGTTTACAAGACAGTAATAATGACAAACTACAATAAAACCACAATTAATTAAAACATGAAGTAAATCCACACCGAATTACAGTTTGCATTAATATATAACAAACAAATATTGATTATTAATTAAGCCTTACAATCAATAAAACAAGTTAGTGAATATTTTTCCATACAGCGCATATAGGTTTTTGATAGCCATAAAACTATAAAACAGACATACTTCAAATCGCTATAACTTTATTTTGAAACTAAGTCTAACCGATTAATTTGATAAACCAATCCTTAATTTGTTTCATCTAAAACTACATGGGAATATTTAATAGTAAGCTGACTTTAATAAAGACATAATTCTAGGTGATTTTTCACATCATCCAATTTCTTGAGCATGTCTACAGTGTGTTTTCCAGTACTTTACTTGTACTGAAGCATTTCCTTTATTTTTTGTTATTGTTGATTCTATTTTTGTAGGACATGTTTTACCAATTATGTTGCTTCCCATCGCCTTCATCATTCTTAAATTGTTTCCCGATTTTCGATAACTTAATGAACGATGACAAAAATAATATTGCTTAACAACTCCATCAGAAATTTTCTTTGCTCCAGTATATAACACATACATTGAAACTGTTTCTCGTTCAATATTATGCTTTCATTTTTCAAATTCTATCAAATTATGAAAATAAATTAATAGGAAATCAATCAGGGCCGGTTTTAAGGGGAGGGCACTGGTGGGCAATTGCCCGGGGGTGGCACACTTTGGGGGCGGCAAAATTATCTCAGATAAAATAAACAAAAAATTAATTTTTTTTGTAAAGAGGAAGATTTCTAAAAAATGATACATTTAATTACTATTTATTTTTTAAATTCACATATGCATACATTTTTTTTTACCTATATTTTATCATTTTAAATAAAGAAAAATAAACGTTATTAACTAAGTAGGTAGGTACCTACTAGGTATCATGGAATATTCTAGGTAGATAGTACCTAAGACCTAAGTTATAAATTAGTTACTTATGTTTTTTTGTATAGTTTACCTACTATTAAAAATCTAATATTGGAATGCATAGGTACCTAGTTAAAATTGCTAAAAATTAACTGCAAATTAAATTTCAATGAGAAAGGGAAACATAAAAAAGGTGGGTAAGTGGGTGTCGCTCTGATGTACAGTAGGTTACAAGTGGGTCATTGTATAATGGATGATATTAAATTTGAATTCAACGATATTATATCATTGTATAAGAAAAACGATTCTGAGCGGAGACGGTATGTCAGTCTATGTATAAGACATATTATATACATAATAAATTCCAAATTAATCATATCACAATATCCATTAGGTACTTATAACGCGTTATACATCAACAAAAACCGTGATACTATCATAGATATATAATAGTACACTTTAGAAGTTTCAAGTACCCACGAATAATATTATTCAATCACAACAAAATAACTAAAATTTCGTCCAAATTTGAATTTAAAATGTCTGTAAAAAATAACTGTGTTCATATATTTTTTAGATTTTTTGGTTACAGTATGAACTATTTATGAGAACTTTTGTTTTAAATTTGCAATCCTTAGCTATAGAGACCGGTCATGTACACATGTGGCGCGGACAACGAACTTCTTTCGGGAGTGATAAAATATGATAATTGTAATTTATAATACGCATGATGTAGACTTTTAGTAGGTTGTAGGTATAGTATACTAGTATGATTTCAGAATTCAGATTCGTACGAATGTTGAATTACTTGAATAATTTGTAAAGACGTAAAGTGTTATATTATAATATTAATTCTCAGTTGATCATAAACTAGTTATTATTATTTTGATACCATTTATTCTTTTTTTTTTAAAAATAAGCAAATCAAATAATAACTGTTGTGTAGTTTCTTGTAACAACACCTATAAAAATTCGTCCAATATTAAATTTTATAATTTTCCTAATCGTCCACACGAAAAAGACCTAAAAAACAAATGGATCAAAGCTGTGAATCGATTAGAGTAAATATAATTAGAAATTGTATATTTTAATGTAGGTATCTAGTCAATTTAGTAAAGAGCAGTAATTGAGTTATTATGACTGTTATTATGATTGTTATTTTTTTTTAATATTTTCTCTTTAATCAGATATATAATTAACCAAATCACAATAATAATTGTTATTTTACCTATAAGATTAATTGTACTTTCTAATCATTAACAATTATTGCACTTGACTTTATTGCTCATAAAGAAGTATATAGATAAGTAGGTAACTATATGTCTATATCAGATTAAAAAATATTTAATTTTATAGTAAAAATGGTAAATTATGGCAACCAAGTGGAAGATCAGTCATATGTAGTGCACATTTTGTTGGAAATACTAAGTCCAAAAATCCACTTCACCCCTCATTTGTACCTTCAATATTTCCTGAAATATACAAAAAAAATGAAACTAATCAAGAACATAGAATGGATAGATATCAACGTGGTCAAAAACGCCAAAAAGTATCATCAGATAATATACTTCATTCTGTTGGTATCCAGGATCATTGTGATTATATCATAACAAGTACTGATGAAGGAAATAATTTAATGAACCAGTTCAAAGAAGTTAGCACCCAAGTCGCATTTGAAAATTCTGTTAACAAGAACTTTGTATTTAGCTGTGAATTTGTAGGTTCTGATGTTTGTACACAAGCAACAATCCCAAAAAATTGTTTTAATTTGGCTTCTTCAGTTCAGGATAAATCTTGTGGTCCAGATTCTCTTCAAGTTGATTCATGCCTTTCTTGTAACAAATTCCATGGATTTGATTGCATTAAAGATGAAAACCAACTTAAAGATTTGACTGGGGTGACATTTAAAGTTTTTAAACTTTTACTTTCATTTTTATCAGACTCAAATAAAAATTTACTTGATATAAAAAGTCAATTATTATTATTTTTAATAAAAATTAAATTAGGTATAACATTTTCTGCATTAAGTGTATTTTTTAAAATAAGTCGAAGAACTGCCTCTAGAATATTTTTTAAATTATTAGATGTGATATGTTCTAAAACTAAAAACTTTATATTTTGGCCAGATAAGTATTCTATTACTCAAACATTACCCAATTCATTTAAAATAAATTATCCAAACTGCAGATGCAAAATAGATTGTACTGAAATTAAAGTTGAACAGCCAAGTACTGTTGAACAGCGTGTTTATCTTTATTCATCATATAAAGGTTGTTATACTGTTAAAACATTAGTTGCAGTAACTCCAAATGGCATGATTTCGTTTCTATCTAAATGTTATGGTGGTAGAACTAGCGATTCATTTATAACAAATGATTCTGGGTTTTTGGAAAAGTTAGAGCCGGGCGATGAAGTTCTTGCAGATAAAGGTTTTCCAGGAATTAAAACTGAATGTGAAAATAATAATTCAATATTAGTTATGCCACCAATACTACATAATTGTCGATTTTCAGAAGAAGAAGTCCTTGAAACATATAGTGTAGCTAGTGTTAGGATACATATAGAAAGAGTTTTTGCTAGACTTAAGTCATATGGTATACTTAACAAAATTAAAATTAATATTCTTCCTGAAATTGATAATATAATGCATATTTGTTGTGTTTTAACAAATTTACAGTCGCCAATAATAAAACAAAATTAAAAATCTTTAAAATATGTGAAATTGTAAAATATAAATTATAAGTTTCCAAGTCAATAAAAGCTATTAAAATTAATCATCATCATGTTTATATTATGTATTATTAAATAACATTATTATGTATACTTTTTTATTAACACTATTTGTAAATTATAAGAAATATATTATTATATTACTTTTACTAAAACTAAATGAGTACACTGTCTTATAGAAAAAGATTCCAACTTGAACAAAACAAAACTTACAAGCATGAAATAAAATAATAACTATACAAATAACATAGGTGTTAAACAAATTATTTAGCATCAAAATTATCAATTAATTTTGGTAAAAAAAAGGAAAAGTAAAAAAAGGACATTTTATTAATTAAGTTATTAAGAAATAGTTGATTTTTTTCTACTGTCACTAGAATTGGTTCAATGTTATTATACACAAATAAGTCACAGGAATTCCAACCACTACAATGCATTAACAATTGGCATTGAGTATAGTATACATGTCTACTTTTTAAAGTTAATTTTCCATTCAATTATCCCATTCCAAATATTTAACATTTATATTTTTATTAGAATCAACTATGGGTTTCTTCTTACATGATATTGGACATTTAATTTCCAATACCTTTTCTATGGTACCACTTTCATTCAAAATAAGTCCATCGGGACTTGCACATAGCCATGGTCGTTTAACATCTACTATTAAACCACAATTTAGTACATCTTTATTGTACATCTGCTAGAATACTTCTAAAGCTATTGGTTCATTTTGTTGACCATAAGTTACATTTATTTTACCTTGCTTTCCCAGTTTGTTTTCCTTTAATAATGTGCTACATAAAATTAATAATCCTTTATCTGACCAGTTCCTGTAAGTCTTTATTTTGTGAGCTTTTGCACTTGCTGATAAACGAAAATATCTCTCTCTTTTCCATAAATCATTAGACTGATTAATTGTGCTATTAAACACTTGCATCATTTTACTATCATCTATATTTATATACAATACAAATAGTAAAAATTATGAACTTTTAAATCTAAAGGAAACATGTTCAGATTTAAAGTGATCATGTTTAATTTTTGTGCATACAAAATTGTAGATAAATGAATTTGATTTAACTCTACAGTAAAATCAAATTCTAATTGGTTTATTATAAATGAAATGCATTTTTTACATTCTCTTTCTGTAGCTGAAAGACATTCTTCTTTCAACACAGTACTCAAACTACAATGAATGTCTAATATGTTGCATTCTTCGATAAGAGTTTGATGATCCACTGCAATATCTAATTTTGTTTTTTTCAGATTTTAGCCTTTTGTTGGGAAATAAGGATTCAATTGTTTTACCTTTTTTATATTTTTCTTGGCCAGACTTGGCCAGAGGGTTTACCCCATTGTTGAGGCAAATTTGTTTTTGAAAAACCATCATCATTATTAATAAAATAAGCTACAGCACAAATGTGTTTACACATCCCTCCTGCACCAGTAGGACAATTACAGTTAGTATGGGTAACAATCCTATTTTCATTCAACTGAATATAAAAATACAATAGGTAACATATTTACCAGGAAAGTTTAAAAATAAGACTACAAAACATACATCAAGTGTTACTTTCCAAGGTTCCAAAGTTACTGATGTCTGTCTTATAACATATCCTGTTATTCTTGAATAGCCTATAGATTTATTTTCTTCGACGTTAAATACATGTTTACTCTCACACAGTTTTTGTCCTTTATTGTTTGGAACACTAAACTTAAGATATATTTCTTGAAAACCATTATTAATTATAATATTAGGAGTATTAGAGGTGATTTTTATAAATTTATTAACCAAGATTTTAAAAGTTATTTAGTTATATTATGATCAAAATAGGTATCAGTAGCTAAATTAATTATTCAATTCTTTTTATATAATATATTATATTTAATTAGAAATGATAATATTATATTATTATGCTGATAATTTTATATTATATTCCATTTCTCCCATTTACTATAGTTTTAATAATATCATTTAATATTAAATTTAAATATTATACAATATTGTGTTTTATTTTGTATACCACAATGTATTTCGTCTCCCGGAAGAATTTCAGAGACTGTCCGCCAGAGCGCAGTGTATTTCAATACATGACCGGTCTCTATAAAAACTGAACATTTTATAATTTATAAATTAATTACAATAATTGATAATTTTCGAGATTTGATAAATTTTGTCAAAATTCGATCTTTAAATGCTTATAAAAAAAAACTGTGCCTATGTATTTTTAATATTTTTCAACTGCTCTTGTAACAATATATCAGGAGACTTGTATTAATTTTTTACACTTTTTGGCAAAACAGATAAAACTTTATTGATATTTATAGAAAAAAAACTAAAAAAAATTGAAAGATGTAAATGTCCATAAACAGCTCAAAAAGAGTCAAAATATTTTCAAAATTGTATGGTGTATACGAAATGCTAATATAAATATTCAGTGAAATTTTCATGTATCAAAAGTTATTCGTTTTTGAATTACAACAAAATAAGGAAATCGCTACATGAGAAATCGAGTGAATATTCAATGTTGTAAAAATTTGAATTTCAAACGCTCTTAAAAATTTAATTTGACTTTCTAATAGACATTTTTTTTTTTTTTGATAAAGGTAGATAATCTTATAAGGAATCTTGTATTACATTTTCAAATCTTAGATTTAAAAAGAAAAATTTTTACGAATTCTTAACTCAAAATAATTTGCTAATTTTCGTGAGTTTTCCATATTTTGTCGATTTTTGAACTTTAAATGCTTATAAAAAAAATTGTGACCAAGGATTTTTAATATTTTTCATCTGCCTTTGAAACAATATATTAGGAGCCTTCTATTAAATTTTCAAGCTTTCGCAACCAACAAATAAAATTTTATTGATATTTTTAGAAAAAAAACTAAAAAAAAATGGAAAATGAAAATATCCCTAAACAGTTCAAAATAAATCAAAATATTTTGAAAATGTTTTCGTTTGTGAAAACTACTGGGAAATTTTTACTTTTGACCCCCCCAAAGTACCAAATAGATTCATTTTCCTATCAGAAAAGCTACTGATGAAGAAAATCCAAGCACTTTTACTATCTTAAAACGTGATGAAACACAAAAAAAATTTAAAAAAAACACACATTGTAAAATCAATACATTCATCGTTTCACTCAGAATCTAAAATTAATTAACTTTATGCCCCCCCCCTACATATTCTTTTGCAACGTAAATGTTGCTACAATTTGGACATTTAATAACGGTTTTCTTCATATTTATTTAAATAATGACAAATTCACAATCCTCAAAACCCTAAATAGGTATTCAGATTATTCTGAATTATTCATATATTTATATTTTGTTTGGGAGGATTTATCGCAGATTAACTCTATGATAACATTATTTTAAAACAGATTTCTATACAGTACAGATTTCTATAAAGTACAGATTTCTATAAATTACAGATTTCTATAAAGTAGTGTGGTTTAAAAGTCTGTGGTATAAAACAATACATTATTAAAGCAGTACATACACCCAGTGCCGGATCTAAAAATTATGTAACCAGGGGCACAACATAATATTAGGGTCTCTAAAAGATACCAATACAAAATGCATTTGTCAATTTTCATGTAATAAAAAATTATGAGTTTAAAATTTGAAATTTGCGCCACTATGATTAGAGCCTGGGGCATGGGCCCCGTATCGCTCCCTCTGCTAGTTTTGGTACTGCATATACCAAAAATAACGTTATTTGGTCAAGTGTTACAAGCAAATTTTCAAACTGTGTAACTGGAGGTACGCAGATTTAAAAATTTTGAGAAACTGAAAATTATACAATACAAACTATTAAAGAATACATTTTTTTGTATCAAAATTAGAAAATTCTGAATCTTACATAAATTTATATTTGGTTTAATTCTATGATAATGTTATTATTTGATAAGCCAGCCAAATGAATTTCAAATGAATTTCTTAAAGTTAAATTATATTTCGTTATATGTTAGGATTGTGAATGTCTATAGTTGCTGAGTGTTGACCAAAATTATTGATGAGTTTTGACCAGTGGTGAGGCTCGAGTCTTTAGGTCGGGGAGACGTTGAATAATAAAAAAAAAAAAAATATGAATGGCGAGAAGGGTCTCATGACGCAACAACTTTCAAATTCTTCAAGCACACTGCCCAGAATATTGAGACATTGTCTCAGATTTATTTTCATGCTGTATTTAGGCGTATGACCCGCTATGCCACACACCGATCGATCACATTTACGGCTCGCAACTACCTAATTTATTCTAAAGATTCTTTAAACTTTAAACTATTTCCACAGCTTTGGAACGAAGCAAAGCCCATGCTCAAAATTCGGCCATCTATCTTATTCTGAATAGAGTATAGCTCTATATAAAATTGCATTGAAAAATTTAACTTTGAAGTTTTGGTTTGAATCAATAATAGATAACACGATAACATACGTCTGTTTTTTTATAATACCAATTTAGGTTTTTTTTTTAAAAAGTGCTAGAATTTTGAACTCTTTTTTTTGTTAACTCGTTATGTTACAAGTTTACTTTGAAAAAAAAGTAACTTAATTTAGTTTAATGTTAAAATTTTCTAATTTGCAAAAATAAAAAATTCCAGACTCATAATATGGTTTATTAGATAGTTTTTCTTTTTGCTCAAGAAAATTTAGTAAAAACTGGTAAAATTCAAAATAATATATTAAAGTGAAAACCGCATTCAAAAATTTTCAATATTCTTTGGACGAAAATGAACTTAATTTAGATACTTTTGAATAAAATTAACTTGAAGTTAACACATTATTCTTAAAAAAAAACTAACTTATTAAGTTAAAAGTTAATTTGAAAAAATATAAAGAGTTAATTAACATAATTTTAAATTGTAACTCGTTAATTCCCAGCCTTGGTTATTTAGTTATAATACAGCCGAGTCTTGATAACTAGAATTTCGAGGGGAATGAAAATACATTTCAGTTATCGAGACT